AACAAATTATAAGTATCTCCAAGCAAAATGAGACAACTGGAGTATATCCCCAAGGCATATAACTTAGATTTGTGGTCATTATATTGCAATTTCATTCTTGTTTCTCTAGCCAAGGGTTGTTATATAGGTTAAATTTGGATAATAACAACCCAAATGAAAATGTAAAGCAACTCCACAAAAGAGAACAAAATGTGTCACTTGACACTTTTCTGTTGGTTGGTTTTAATTCATTTTGCCTTCCCATAAATAAACAAAATGAACTGCCTTGTCATTTGTCATTCCAAGTTAAATAGTTTTCGTGGGTTTTTTTGTTTGCTTTGTTTTTGGCAATCTAAGTTAAATATGAGGAGTTAAATTTATTTAGTTATAATAGTCTGAATACAAGAAAAGTTTTGAATGACCTAGAGTTAACAAGATTATTTCCTGATAGAATTTTGGTCCAGTTTATAATCTAATTAGCTCATTATAGAAAACTTCAACTTTTTGCTTTACTCTTTCAGCATTTCAGCAAATAAAAGCATTGTTTCAAATTATAAGCATTGGGCACATCATAAGTACAGGCATTTCAAAAACCAAATGTGGTTTGACTTTTATTTCCTCCACTGTCAGATTCTGTTACAACAAAGTATTTGTTGTATGGAAATTCATTCATTAGAATATTGCAAGTTGGGTGATAGAAATAACTCTGAAAAGTTTTTCAATACATTTACTTTGATCTTCAAAGAGGAAAAGTCACGAAACCAGACATATTGTATGAAAATGATGAATTTCATTAAAATGTATCTGTTTTCAGGTTACAGTGGGATTTTTACATGTGTTTATGCCAAAGAAGTGATTCAAAAAAGATATAGACACACACACACACACACCAGGAGGGTTCCTACAGCTAAATTAGTTTAACTAATGATATCATGTTGGTACAGTAATGTTAAACTTTTAATATCAATTCTACTTTCTTTGAATGCATCTATCTAGAATGAAGACAAGTATTTCCTTTGTGCAAGAATTGTTTTGACAGACAGCCACAGAAGACAGAGAAATCTATCAATATGTCTGGCTGGTAATTTTTACTACACAGAAAACCTATAACTAGTATGTAATTGAAGAAAAGGGAGTATGAATTTCATGTAAGATATACAAACTAATAGCAGAATTATAGAAAAGATACTCCACCAGAATAAAATAGAATGAAGGTAATATGTAGAAATGCCGCATCACTAGAACCCTTATAGAAAACCAAGTCATATTCAATCCAAGTGACTTTAAATGGAACCTATCTTTATAGTATTCCCAAGACTCAGAAGAAATTGACAAGGCTAAGAGCAAGAAACTAATGTTCTGGATACAATATACTTGCTAACTAAAATATCTCTGCATGTCCTTATCATGAATGACAAGGAGAATTTAGAAATTTCCTTCTCATTCTAAAAACATATATTTACATCACACATGCACACACACTCACAAATAAAATAACAGTTCTATCACATTCATTTGGAAAATGATTTTATTATAATAAATCTAAAATAGCTAAGATGTATTTTCTGCAATATTCTCATATCCCTCTCCATTTTTATGTCTATTCACATCTAGTAACCCCATTAAGAAAGTTTCTTTAAATTATTTTAATATTTCAAATATTTTATGTATTTATTAGAAGTCAGTGGAAAAATATGTATTTAAAGTAATTCTTCTGCCTACAGATAATTTAATTCCTTAAAAAACACTAATTTGTATTCAGCCTCTTCCTAAATTTATCATTTGGCTTTCTCCTCACTTTCTTTCCTTCCCTTATTCTCTTTCTTTGCAATTCACAGACTTTCTTTGGAGTTAACACATTGAAAGTATTCTTTTTCCATTGTCTCCTTCCTACAAAACTCATTTTAAGTTAAGGTGGGAACACAGGAGATAAAGAGACAGAAGAAAACTCAAAGATTACAGAGACCTCTTCAAAACAAAACTTTAATATTTGTTCCTACCCTCTGAAGGTAGGAAGATTCGAATTTTGACAGACAAGTGACAGCCTGTTGTAGATGGATTTATAAACATACACTTTTAAGTAATAATAACTGCCTGAACTTTAATTGTTAGGCAATATGTTTTCACATCTTATATCAATTTAAGAGACTAGCTTTAGGCCTCTCAATCCCTTTTCAGAAAATTTGACAATTTAAAATATACTTCTTTTTAAGTGTGAAATCTTATCAAACTTTGATGTGAAATGACATTGCTCTATGACACATTAGTTGATCCTAAGTGAATATGATTTATCCTCCACATTTTGCTGTTAAGAGTTACAAAGATATTTCTTTTTTTCATGGGTGATGAAATCTAATGAGAACTGACAGGTACATTAGCTTAAGTCTACCAAGTCAATATAAACTAAGAAAATAAACAATATGGAATTAAAGGACAGGTGGATGTATATAGGTTAAACACAAACTTACAAGTCAATTTCAAGTATCTTTTCTAATTATTTAAACTCAAATGTACAAAGGAAAGAGTAACACAGGTTGGAGGGCAACACAACCATTGCTATCTAGTCCATCTGGTTTAAGAAGATACCCATTGTCCAACATATATTTGGAGAACCTGAAAGTGGTTTCATTTTCCTGGCCTGAGGTAAGCTCATGAACTATAAAACACACCTGTGTAATTCACATGCCTGTTCTGTTCTTCAAGGACAACTGGCATAAACCTGTGCAGAAAGCTACATTTCATTAAACTCTCTCTTAAGCTCATAGTCTCTTATCTTCTGTTTCAGCATTTCATTGAGGAAAGTTTGTCATAATGCACCAGCAGTTTTTTTTTTTTTTTTTTTAATTTTCAACAAGATTTCTCTCTCTCTCTCTTTTTTTTTTCTTTACCGAACAGGACCAACCTTTTCACTTTTGATAAGTAGCCATGGCAATTTTAACTTTTTTTTTTTTTTGAAACTTAGTATATATGTGGGCTGAAATATGTGTATATGCACGCACACATGTGTATGTACATACATAGTGTATATATGTGTGCACATGCATCTATGTACACATGTATATTACAGAGATGTGTGTGTGTGTAAAATAGTGGTAAAGTATTTGGCAACAACTGTTTTTTCTTGTACTATCTGATACTTCTTAGGCTAACAAACTGATAGAACATAACACTATTTCACTTTCGAGAAAAAAGTAGCCATCCTTTTCCATGTGCCTTGTTTATAGTTAGGCTGTTCCTCTCCCTTTCGGAACCTAAGACACTAAATAACAATTCATTTAGCTGTTTAGTTTCCTATCAAAGGAAAGATGGGCATCTATAGACTTAAAATTTTACTGTATTTCTTTTTTATCATTGTAGTAATGGCCCTATCCCTCATCAACACATTCTAAGGCACAGAAGACTTAGCTCCAGGTGAGCTCAAATTTCTGGAGAATGGGAACTCAGTAAAATAGAGCCCAATAGCAGTAGTGTGCCACTATCATATGTTGCTCTCACATAGGGCTGTAAAGCTTCATTCTGTCCTTTTGCTCAGGTCCAACTTCAAACATTCTTGCAAAGAAAGGTTGATATCTGATTGTTCCAGATCAAAAACATCATCATTCAAGTTAGAGCTATGTGCTTCTATTTTATCAGCATAGTTTTCAACTGTTCCACACCAACTTCAAGGCAGATTAAGAAGCTATAAGGTAGGTGGCAATATGCTTAAAAGTTTATCACTCAATGAATGGCAGACTTTCTAAAGGAACTCATATCAGCCTCATTAATGATAAAGAAAATGATGTGTGGGTTCGTTATAAAGACCGTAATCTGGTTATTGACAGAAGGTTGGATAGAAACACTACAGTGTACCCTCCTGTTCTTTCTTATGATGATGAAATAATTTTTAGTTAATTCATAATTTGCTTCACATAAGCACAGTCAGTAAATCTCATCCAACATTTTTGCCTGTTTGTGTGGCACTAGCATCTTGGGTATCTTTTCTCTCTAACTTCTGTTTTGTTTTGTTTTTTTTCACTGAACTTAAAAACCAAAATATAGTATTCAATATGAACTCATTACAATCTTTTAAAAAATCTAGAACTATGACAATTCTGATTTTACTTTAAGCTGTTAACTATTCCAATGCCAAGGGCCCAAATATTCACTGACTTTTTTTTTTTTTCCTTTTCCTTTTTCACCCTTGCAGCTGTTGTCAAAATTATCAAACTTGCTCATGGATTTCTCGTTTTCAAGCTCAAAAGTTTTCAGAATCCAGGTTTATTATAATTCTCAACCCCTCTCTCCTTTTTTAAAATCTGCTCAGGATACCCAAGCCTGTGTAAACTTCTACGGTTCATGAGCTATCTGGAGAAAAGGCAAGGGCAAAACGCCAGGGATGGGTTATCATCTCCAACTACATTAGCCATGCCACAGACCTTGAGCATCAAAAAAGTCAAGTCAGGCAGGTGCCTCTACCCAGAGGCGCCCTGAAGCCTTGGTGGAGAGACGCAGATCACAGGAATACCCCAGGAAGGGGCTACAGAAACGAAAGAGCTTGGTTTGTCGCTTTCGTCTCTCCCTAGACCCTGGGCGCTGCAGGTAAGGAACTTAACCCAGGAGCTAAGTTGAACGAGCATACACAGACCGCGGAGAATCCCGAGCCCGCAGAAGCTCAAAGCTCTGAGAGTCATCAGGGAGGGAAGTCTTAGAAATGCGAATTCTGATCCCAATATCTGCACCGCTTGGGATGCGCGGGCCAAAGCGCACAGTCAAGTCCAAACACTCCCGGGGTTGGGGGTGGGGGCAGTAGGGTGAAGGGGAGGGAGACAAAATCTGGAATGGTAAACCGCTCTAGAGGAGCCGAGTACTCTGGCACCAGGTTCAAATATCCCCCATCGCACCTCTCACCCCCCAGGAGGCCAGCGCTCTGTGGCCAACCGGTCCCGGGGAGCGCGGCCGCAAGGACTTAAGTTTCGCACTCACTTATCTGCAAGCATCTCCCAGCAGGAACACCGAACTAGATAGGGGGGAGGTGTCCTTACCTTGGTTGGCTCCGACGGTCAGCACCTTGGCGATAGGCAATAATCCCGAGAGAGTGAGTAAGGCGAGGAGAAACTCGGACATTGTGGTTGCCCGGTGAGGAAGCCTGCGCTGGAGACTGCTTGGCGGCACCATCGGCCCGGCGGCGGCGGCGGCGGCGGCGGCGGCTCGGAGCTCCGAATTGAGCAGCGTCATTTACAAATGTCACTGAAAATTCTTCAGCTCAATGAGCCCAGTCAGTCCGCCTTCTCCTGCCGGGAGCAGGATATGGAAGGTGTAGGGATGCGCGCGTGGAGGAGAGTGAGTGTGTGTGAGCGCGAGCGAGCCGCTCGTGTGTCTTGACTTTTCAATGCAGGGTACGTCTGATCTTACATCACGCAAGAGGGGCAGTGAGAGATGCCAGCGGATGGGAATTCACTGATTAATCACCGAATCCACCACACACCCCTCCGTCGTCCACATAAATCACATCTATTACTTAGTAAGAGGCATTTAACACAACAGGAAAATACCACCGCGGACCGAGAGCGCCACAAATCACAATTATTTTGTTCTCCTTGAAGGGAAAGTAACTCCAAGCTGGTTCTGTAGGGATTTGGGTTTTTAGAGAAGGGGGAGACTTCTGCATTGGGCTGAGTCAGTCAGGCGCCTGGGAAGCTCCGCATTTAACAGCCAGCTCACAATTATCAGCTACAGCGCTGAGATGCTTCCCTCTCTCTCTCGGAAAAAAAAAAAAAAACACTTGATCCCTTTGCTCCCTAGAAGCTTCTTTCCCGGGAAAGAAGGACAAGCCAAATAACTGAGCTTCTCTTAGAGAATGGTTTCCTCCGCTCAACACTTAAATACAATGTTTTCTGAATTGCACTTTTAACTTTTATGCTGAGTAGCACCTGGGGACAAAATGCAAAATTGAGTGACTCAGCAGAAACAAAGGAACAAAATGCCAAGCCAAGACAATCCCCGGAGTCATTAACCATTGCCTAAGAAGGGAAAAGAGAAAGGTTTTTAAGCAAAGAACCGTAGAAGGACCATTTTAAATAAGCTTTGAGGATTTTTCAATTGGTTCGGTTTTGTGTTGTGTGTTCTTTTTTCCCCCTTTTTTCCGCACAGTACGTAGTGGTTTAAAAACTTTCCCCAGGCATCAAATTGAGTCAGTGAAAAAGTTGTTTGTATGGTCTGTTAAGTTTTTAATTTGACCACAGAAAATCTAAAATTTTAGCTAGCTATTCAAAACATGGTTAAGGCTTTAAAGCTTAGTAATCTTAATAGTTGAAAATGAAGAGCATGCAACTTAACAAAGGTTGAAAAATGCTTTTTATTTAATATTTTAAAATCTGAGGTGGATGTTAGGAATAACTATGAGAAAAGAACAAGCACAAAATGATTGAAGAGATAAAGAAAGATATTTAAAACTTATTTCATTTTACTGGGTGGGACTTAAAAGTGAAAACTAACCCTATGAATTATCTGTTCTTGAGAGTAAAATTATCTAGAAACATCTTTGAATGTCATTTTAGAAGCCATTAAAAATAGATCAGATCAAAGCACACAGAATGACTGAGAGACATTGCCAAGAATATATAAAATTGACCATTCCATATTTACTCTTGTGATAAAAAATTATGTATCTTATGTCAATATTGCCATATTTTAAATTTTAAAGTATTTTGCCCTTGTAAATAGAAGCATTTAGTGTCATATTTAAAATGTGTATTTTTTCTAGAGTTGTTAAATATATCAATTCACCTAGTATTTTTTTTTATTGTTTTATAGTGAGACAATAAAATAAAAGGGGAAAAGGGAGATTATTTTTCCTAATTACTTCATATAAAAATCCAAACTTTGGAATAATAAGAGTTGAACTCTCTAGAAGTTTACAAAGACTATGGGCCTGGAAAAGAGAGGAAATAACTCTGAATAATGCATGAAGTAATAAATTCCTTAGTTATCCACAGGCCTATCCAATCTAAGAATGCTTATCCTTTTATTGGGACAAAGTAGGTAGATAATCTTTCTTACCAAATCCCAGTCAACTAAGAGGTCAAACCCCCAGGAAACTCCTATCCACCTAAGTATTAGCATTAAAATGTGGAGAATTCCCAAATCATGGGGATGTTCACAGGTTCTTCTTCTATGCTATTACCACCAAATACTGCTCTCCCTATCTTAACAGTTGCAAGGTAAAGTAAAACATGCAGGAGCAGTACAACCAGACTCTTACCATGCCCCAAAGTGCAGTGATTGAAAATTAGTGATTTGCTCACTTTTGTGGCATGCAGAGTAGCCCTGCATCCCACTGTCAACTCTATAAAAGAAAATGCTAAGAAGGATAAAGAAAGAAAGAAATACAAATTTCTACTCTCTTATATATTCCAGATATGGCATAATCTAAATATGCCATATGTCCTAGTGACTAACTCATTCATAGAATTAGGAAGATTAAAATACCTCAAAATCTACTTTAGAAACTATGACTGACTTCTTATTTGGCCTGGATGACAGAAATCTATAGTAAATATCCCACACATTGTGACTCACACAATAAAGCAAAACAATTTCATTTTAGTAATCACCAAATATATGAATGACATCTGATTCAAAATGGTGGTATAAAATAGTAGCAATTGTGGAAGCTTATTTACTAAGTTATAGTATGAAAGGAGGTGTTTAATTAATATTAAATATGAATGCTTCTTAATTTCATCTATAAAATACAATTTGAGTTTAAAATTAACAATAACATAAGGAAAATGCACTCCATTTAAAATTATATTAAAAATAAAACGTGGGGCTTTATTTTAAGAATGTGAATACATGTTATTATCAAAAACTTTAATGACATAAAAGTTTTCCATAGTAATTAATGGGAAATGATGCTTAGTTACATATAGAACATGTACAGTTAAAGGCATAAATTTAAGCATATTGCTCCAAAGTCAAAATAAGGCAGTGTCAAAATGAAATTAGATAAAATTGTTCCACACAAAATTACTTCTATACCATGATTCTTCAAACTCCCATTGAAAATGACCAGTTCATCAAAAGAATCATCTTTGGTGAGCACCAAGAAGCTTGGTGAAGGTAGAACAAAAATGTGATTTTTAAAAATAAATAATTTACTCCAGGGTTTTGGACAGCTATCCAATTATATCTGATTATGAATAAAAGGAAAATCATATACATAATTTTCTATATTTTTACTTTATAGCATATAGATGCTTTAATGACAAATGAAGTTAATAAGATATATTATAAATGAGAGGAGAATATCTAGAGTTACCATTAAAATTGTTTGTTCCTATAGCCCATTATAGTTTCTTCACTCTAATCAGAATTATTAACACTGACAAGTTAAATAAATTAATTCATCAAACTATAGCATGTAATGCAATCCTTCATTGAGATAAATTAAATAAAGTAGAACCAAGCATTCTTACTTTCTGGTCTAAAACAACACAAGAATATTAATTATTAGGCAGGGGTGATCTTATAATTCCCAATTAGAACCATAATTTACATACATGTGATCAGATGTCATATTCCATTTCTGCTAAGTTAATTTTTTCTGTTGTGCTGTTGTTTTTTGTTTTGTTTATTTTATTTATTTATTTATTTTATTTTTGTTGTTGCTGCTTTTACCATAGTGAATGACAATTCAGACACTAGGTACCTGAAAGTCATATTTGCAGGAGAGCGGTCAGGCGAATGTCTAAACAAACCAAGACTGACAGTTTGTCTCAAGGAAATGATGTGAGTAAAGGAGAGTTGTCTTGAAAAGCAGGTTGCTAGGGATTTCTGCTTCTATCATTCCAAGGATTGTTAATGTTCTTATTCTGCCTTTCCACACAGAGAAGTTGCCAGGCAGCACCAGACACAGAATGAGAAAGGGGAGAGAGGAAACTGGAAAGAGAGAGGGCTAGAGTGAGAGGAAGAAATATTATCAGTGCTTAAGAACTGAAATAGTGTTTCTCTGGTCTAACTCATTAAAAAAAAAGAAAAAGCTGTAGGTAAATTAATTTTCAAGTTGCAGCAATTCAATGAAGACTTTAAACTACTTTCTTTCAAAGTGTGCTCTATCTGCTCAGTAAGTTGCTACTTCAACTGGGACATGGAGACTTAGCAAAATAAGTATGATTTGGTGCAACCTTAATTTCTACCATTTAGGAAATAATAGGAGGGAAGTATACTTGAAAAAAAGAAAAGAGAAAAGAAAGAAAGAAAGAAAGAAACCTGGAAGCAAAAATAGCTATCTGGCAAAATTAAGTTTTTCCCTGTATATAAGCCTCAGGTTATCATTAGTACCATTATCAGTAAATATTTTAATACATGTGCAACACATAGTGAATACTAACTTTTAAAGGAAAACTATGGCAAGTTTTTAATACTGATTTTTTTTGATGCTTTCTATCTCTAGTTTGATAAACTTTTGACCCAAGAAGAAAAAGAGTGTTTGCAATTTACACAGCCTCATCAGGCAACAATTGTCTTTACACAGTAACATTATAGACTCAAGAGACAAATTCTATTTTGTTTTTTTGATGTCTTCTGAAGGCACAATCAGTAATAATGCAATCAGTAAATGTATGTTGTGGGAGGAGAGGGGTAATAGATAAATACCAAAAAAGTCACTAAATCCTTATCACTTTACTTGTGTAGAAATAGCCCTTAAGTTTCAAATTAGTTGCTGATTAGAAGGCGTGTTCTTTTCCATGATTTTTGATACTGACAGACTTCTGGTCATGATGACCTCTACATCACCTGCTCCAGCTGCTAGAACAAAGTTTGTGTTTCATGCTGAGGGTTGGCTTTCTGATCTCCATGGTCAGAATGCCCTGTCTGAACAAGTCATTAAGGTCTTTTTTTACCTACCTATATCTTTTTGGCCCTCACATTTTAGCTTTTTAATTTTGTTTGAAACTCTTAGATTGTTGGAGTTGGTAGAAACATTTGAATCATCAGTTCCAGATTACCACATTTTACACATGGAAAACCTTAAACAAGGAAAGGTGAGTCTTCTGAGATCACATATTTTATTAATGGCAGAAACAGTCCTAGATCCTAATGCTTTTCTATATCATGTAATGAATTTTGTTGCTATTCTGTTATACTTTACCTAACTCAGAAGATGATTCAATAGGGGGTTTGCATTCACTCATTCAATCATTCACATAAGAGCAATATGTTATGTAACAGCCACAGTATTTAGCACCAAATAAGTATAACGAAAATAGGCATGATCTATAAGTAGTAGCAGACTTTATAATCTAAAACAAATGTCATCTCCATGTTAATCATGCTACAAGATTTTGTGGGAACCAGGCTATTGGAAGCCGCAATTATACAGAAGCCTCAG